GGAGGTCCTCCTCCAGGGACTGCTGTCCCCAAGGACATGTTCAAACCGTGTGCACGCAGCCTCACCCACCTTGGCCCCTAAGGGGCATTCTGACTGCACTTCTCCCAAGACCGATTTGTGTCTCTTCCTGGTGGTACGTGGCACCGCCCGTCACTCAAACGCATCAACTCCTCGGTCTCCCTTGTTCAGTGCCCACCTTTCACGGGCGCACGAGGTGCTGCGTGCACCATGGCTGGGGCCGGGCACACCTCCATCCTCAAAACAGCAGTGTCACATTTCAACCCTGTGCAGCAGATTTTCCCAACACAATGTGCCGCTTGGTGTCTGGACGGCTGCTTCCGTGAGCCCTGACGTGGATTCAAGCAAGACAACAATCCTTGACGACCTCCCTTTTTTTCCCCGTTTATCACGATGCTACTGGCTGGTCCAGCTCTGAGGATTGCGGTTTTCTCTAACATGAGTTGTGATTCTCATACTCCAGGCCGCAATCCTCGACCTTCGTCAGCAGGCAAGGCTGTGTCCTGTGCGTATCACAGGCTGCTAGTAGGTCTTCCTCCGATCCTGATACCACACTCTTCTTCACACAGTGCGGCTTCTCCGATGATCTGCTCAGCACGCAGAGAGAACAAGTATGGTGAGAGGACCCAACCCTGACGTTCACCTTTTCTGATTTTAAACCGTGAAGCATTCCCTTGTTCTATTCCCACAATTATCTCTTGATCTGGGTACAGGCTCAGCAGGAGCATGGTGACGTGTCCCACACTGCCCATTCTTCTCCGGGTGACTCATAGTTGGTACCGATGTCCACGCAGTTGAATGCCTTTGCACAGTCAATAAAACACAAGCTGAGAGCTTTCTGGTGTTCGATGCTTTCAGCCAAAATCTATCCGACGTCAGCCAGGATACTCCTTGTCAAGGAGAGTCCTCTCCTGAAGCAGGCGTGCATTTCCGGCAGCTCTCTGTGGTTCGCCAGCAAAATCTTACCTACATGTGACATTAATGTGAATTCTGTTGGGTTACCTTTTGAGGCAGTTAGTTTATTGTGCCGACCTGGCCGATAAACACATGTGGGGGTAATTGAAGGGCGGAGGGATAAATGGCTTGGTGAGCTTCGCCTTTCTAGTTCTCAGGTCTGCTTTGTGATGGTTGGACCAGGGTGCAGCTGCCTTGGCCAGTTCCCTGCTTCAGCTGGCAAGGCTCTTTTCCTACAAGACAGTCCCTGAGGAGAAGCCACATGGACCTACCCCGATGCAGCCCTGGGTGCTGGGGCAGCCGTGTGGAGACCCCTCCCTGCCAGCGCTGAGATGCTTACACGTTCATTGATTCGGCTTTCCTCCTGCAGTCGGTGTCATTGTGTGTGTTTTGTGAGATGGAGGAGAACTTTGCGGACTGGTGTCGGACATATGGGTTAATGTTGGACTTGGGCAGCACTGGGTTGGGGTGTTTTCTTGATGTGCACTTAATCTTTATATAAAACTCTCTCTAATACATGAGTTTCTGTGGATTTGCTTCTCTAAAGTACCCAGACTAGCACACCTTTCTTTGGAATGGGCATAGATACCCATCTCTTCCTGTCAGGTGTCTGCATAGCTATCTTCCAAATCCCCCAACCTCAACAAGCGATGGCCTCCAGTGTGGAGCTTGCTTTCAGATAATGGCGCCAGTGCAGCCTGGACTTCCTCCAAAACCATCGGCTCTTGACCACACGCTACCACTTGCAGTGGCTGAATGCTGACCAGCTCTCTTTTGGGACAGTGACTCTTTGTGTTCCTCCCATCTTCTTTTGATGCTTCCTGCCTCACTCAAATCCTGCCACAAAATCTTCCGATACTGCGACGCGAGGCTTGAATTTCCCTTCACGTCTTTCAGTC